CACGCGCCGCCTCAGTGGTTCCCTGAAAGGGGCCCCGGGGAGGGGGGGGGGGGGGGGGGGGGAGTGGTTTGTATCCAAACTGCTCCAAATTCATCCGGTCTGTCCCCTGAGTGAGTCAGGAGCAGCCCTTCGGTCCAGTCAGTCTCTGTTTAATCCCTTTATTAGACTATGACTTGGATGAATGAGAATCTGTGCGCACACACACACTAACACTGTCCTGTGTGTCACTTTCCATCCAAACACCACCTCTCTGTGGACAGTGTTGGAGGTAGAGAGAAGGAGGGCCGTGTTCACTACCAGTCTGCCGCCCCACCTTCAACATTTACCTCAAGTTCACACACTTCTCTCTTTTGCCAGTTTGATGCACAGCTCACTTTTTCTTTCCTGACTTTTCAGAGCGCTTTGTGTCCGACCTCCCACCCCGATCAGACCTCTCTGACCTCTCACCCCTCTCCCTCTCCTTTTCTCTCTCCTTTTCCGCTCGCTCTATCCTGTCAGCTCGGTCCGAGCGTTCGCCTCCTCGCTCTGACCTGTTGTCGGCCTTGCTGCCATCGGGCCGTGTACCCTCGTCAGTGGATGAGGTAGTAGGTTGAGGCAGACCCCATTTGCTGATATCGTCGTGCTCCGAAATACTGGTGGTAATGTTGTTTACCCACAATTTGAGGTCGTCCTGCAGTGAGGTCAAACGAAATCATCCCATTTTATCTGCACTAAAAGTATTTGGTGAATGATTCTCACATACAGAAGAAAGACTTACCTCATCTTTAGCATGAAACAAAAACTCGCTGCCATCTTTTGTCCTGCAGAGAAAACAGAGGAATAACCTGAGTATCGAGACGAGGGGAGGGGGCAACTGGAGTGGGTCATTACACAAGACATGATTTAATATCAACTGTGAAGGAAATTAGTTTCAGAAAGATATTTACAAATTGTTAGAAAAAAACAGGGTTAGCTGCACAGAACCTAACTAAGACACTAGAGGGCAGTCTCTGTCTCAGTGTTTAAAGGATTAGGATTAAGGCTTGTAATTGGATAGTTGCTAGTTTCCTCAATAAAATATATTTCAAAACACGTTCATTTTAATGACCTTATTAGTATAATAAAGTAATTCATAATAATACTGGAGTTTTAATTTGTACATATAAAATGTATAATTCTCATATTTAATTTAACGGCAGCAACTGACTTGAGGGTGAAAACATTCTTCTTCTTTTTGTATCCGTTAGTGACATCGCAGTGGCAGTGAGAGAGGTTGAGCAGCGGCTCGTTGTTGTACGACGCCGTGGTGTTCTTAGCGTCCTTGTAGAAACCAATCTCTCCTTTGTTCAGCACGCAGTATAGGTTGACCCATGACCTGCTGTGATGTGGAAAGGCCAGAGGGGCAAAGGTAGGTAGGGGAGGGGAGGGAAGGAGTACGAGGACAAAAAGGAGGGAGGGAACATGGGGAAGGTAAGGGAGGGAGGTGGTGGTGGTTGGGAGGGAGATGCAAGGAGTCAGGCAGAGCTGCAGAGTTGCTCTCTTAGGCTATCACCTGACTCACCTGACCAGAGAAGACAGGTATGTGGGCGGGAAGAACCAGCACCAAAAAAGGAAGAGGAAAAACACTGCTGTACAAACACAAACA